TGTTTACCAAGGGGGATCTGAAGCACTCGAAAATCGTTTTTTTCTCACCAACAAAACGATACAATAGGGTGTAAGCAAGAGGGCGTCCGTTAGAAAATTAAACATTTTATCATTTTCATGTAGTTAGATTTGCGTATGTGATTGATCTCCTGAAAAAAACGGAGTAATATTGTCTACAGAGAATCCTTTGTCAAGGTATTCCAGCATGTTATTGCCCTCAGCGAATAATCAATAAGCGACCGCAAAAAAACTCTCCAATTTTTCGCTGCTTACTCAAATGCGCCAGTAAGAAACGAAGTGACCAGAGGACTAACAATTTTAGCAGTATTTAACTATTTACCATATTAATATCCATATGACCATTATCCTGTGCCGTCATATGCGTAAAGAAAGGCCTAATAGTAAGCAACTATGGCGAAAAATATTCCAATGTTGAGAGGACGTCGTTCTTACTACATCGTGTCTGTATCAATTTCACATCACTGGAGATGTCTGCATAAGAGCGAAAACTAGCCAAACAGAAATGAAAATGAAAGGCTTGGTTGCGAATACAACTAGATTTATTTTATAATTTCCTACAAAATGCATTATTGAGATGGCAATCTAAAAATATTCCGAAGTTGTTACGAACATCCAATGCATGCGTTAATTGTGACGCCAAAATCATCAGCTTAGTAGTCGCGTCCTGTCACGGTTGCTGCCGTTAGTTTTATGTAACAGCCCTCAAAGGTCCAGTGATTCATTTCGTGATTCAGTCTTCAAAATACAGAAACCAGTCCCTTCACACTGCGTCAAGTCAAGTGAGCGTAAGGACTATTTCGGTACCACGTTGTCCCTATCAACAGGATGCCCAATCCACCGCTCTGGCCGTGAGTTTTTGGTGTAGCAGAGCTTTAACTTTGGAAAGATTGAATTGGGCATGCACATTTGTTTCGATTTCGTCAAGTAGACAGTTCCAAATCATCTCTAGCTAATTGTCCGTGGTCACGTTTCTCTGGAATAGAAATGACTTTGTACACAGTTCTCTCAGATGGTAAAGCGGTGGTTCGTATTCAGAGGTTCTTATTTTTTATTTATTTGCGGCACGTGTACTTTTGTCATTCCAAGTGCAGACACTTGTTTGCACGCTTTTCCATTCCAACGTAATGTAGGCCCATCACCGACAGTTTAAAAGGCTGCCAGCTTCAAGCGTCTTTTTAATATCCTTTCAATCCATTCTGCACATTAGACTGTCAGCCGACCTTAAAGCCTGCAGTAAGGTTAGTCACAAGCGCCTTCTTGCGACACGACCAACAGGGACTTCTGCCGGCTTTTTGCAGACAAATCCTAAAAACATAACTTGAGGAATTGCGAACTTAGACGGTCATATCTTCTGAAACTGATGCTCTTTAAGACTGCCTTTTTGGCTCTACCGTGGAACGTCCTATGATGAGGTCAAATCAGTTTCCCTATTGACAACTATTTATGAAATCTTTAGACAACTGCACATCACACATTCACATTGGACTACGTGTAGGCGTACCTTAATTCAGAGAACGCCTTTTCTGTTGCGGTTGTCGGCGCGTCTAATCCTAAAATGGGAATCATATAAAAAACGAAAAATCTAAAAAAAATCAATTTCGGACACATTACTCGGTTTAAGAAAATCTGAGCGAGATTTTCTAACGTTGCTGGGTGGTGAAATGACGGCAAATAATTAGAGACATCCACTAGCGACAGGAAAATGAGCTTGATTTTACCTTGGCGAATCGCCAAGTACGCAGACATTCGCCGGCGAGACATATTGTTAAAGCACTTTGCAATGAGACAAACTATTAGAGAAAGTCCTTCCTTGAATTAAGTTTAATATTTGTCCGCTTTCATTGTGAGCTTCATTGTTTCTCGCTGATGGGATTCCCTGTTTTGGCTGGTCTACAGACATAACCTTAACGGTCATTTGCATCCTAAAGTATGTCCAAGAACCCAGAAAGACTGCAAATGTTTTCAAGACAAATTTTATTTCAAATATCTTAATAAACACACATAGCACAATAAATCTTTATGCGTAACCCTATGAAAATACTGAAAATCGGCATGTTTTTGCTATATTTTTTAGGATGATATGAAATTATTTGCACCCCACGACCAGACGAAACCGCAATGGATTTCATGAAAATAACATTCTCTTAATGAACGCCCAATGGTATGTTTACGAATACACCTACTAATTCTGTTTACATTCACCCGTCATTAACCAGTCTATCAGTATGTACCCTTGCGAAATCCTTTTTTCCCGTGATAATCTTGCCTGCGTTGTTCAACCACACCCCAAATAATTTAAAAAACGCAAGGAATACAGCCAGTTCTTGTTCAACCATTATGGAAAGTATGCACAAACTGTGGCCGGTTGGTTGACTATCATACTTGGCATTACACTTGAAGTGCAAGACTCACGACATGATTTTCGGGTGACATCCTTCCTATTCTCCTTTATTTAACAGGGTTTTGTTTAGTCGTCTTATCATACATCTCACATTTACTCAGTCGCAGGGATTGTTGACGCTTTTTGAAATTTTCTCTTTGGCCGTAGGTCGCACTCTTTCCTCTCTGCCTCCATGTGTTCCTTTATGAAAAAACAACAATAATCCTCAGGCAGAATGAAAGATAGAAAGTAGTTTACCGACTTTTACATTATTATTCTCTCAGCTACCAATACTGGTCAAAAGTATTATGAGTAAATCAATGAAGAAATCATTGATTTCGCCTAGCAAAATTAATTACCAGGAATAGACGAAAAGCGTTTATCGCTTGTGTTCAATTAACAGAAGACTGTGCCTTACTAATTACGCTGTTAGAAGACGGACAATATTTGACGATTGTGTGACTCGTACATTGACGTATATGTCTATATTGATAGAGTAGAATAGAGGTGCAACCAGGAAACTGTTTATTAAGCTGAAGTAGAGGCACAAATATTTCACCCATTGGTCGAAACTGTGTAGGTACACGGATGCATCTTCAATGAGAAACAAGGACACGCAAAATGCCCCTTTATTTAAACTTGGGGACTTTATTCGGGATAGATGCTGACGGGTATCGTGAAACAGACTTGAAAACATGCTAACTGCTCCGTAAAGCTAACTCAATGCAGCAGTCGAAGCAATTCACGAAACGTGCCGAAAAGATTCAAAACGCCACATCAGTGCACACTGAACGTTACGCATTTCGGTTGTTTGCATATTGCGTCCCCGAAGTTCCTTTTCACGCTCAGAATAGTTGCACATGTTACTTAATTAGACAAATTGTGGAAAATGGTCGGCGGATGTATCATACTTGCTTCAGTATATACATAAGACCGGACCGTCGGCAGGATAATAAAGAGCGTCGACGGCCGTTTTCTTTAATGTTGCTTGCTCGCAGCCTCCTTTATACGATTACAAATACGCAGAATAATGGTCATGCAAATACTGAAAAGCTGAGCAAACTTCTTATGCTTTGCCCATGACGTTTCTGAATTAGGCATAAAAAGAACTGCACCGTAAATATCGTACTGCCATGTGCAATAAATGTAGAATGGCCGATTGATTACGGTCATTCTGAATTGCAAGGAAATGGTAACACGTTTAGACAAGGGGTCGTCTTTAGAGACTGTTGCTGTGTTTTGGTGCATGAGATCACATAGGGTTACAAGTCCGATCCTTAAAAACCGATAACACATCTTGTTTCCTATACATACAATCCTTGCTCGCAATTATGTTATCATGGTCTTCGCCAGACAAATACGCATTTTTGAATGTGACAGGTGTAGTTTAGTAAAACTCTTAAATATACAAATCTACTCTAAATGAAAAACGAACAAATTAAATTAAGGACGCCCATAAACGTAGAAAATCGTCCGCAAATAGAGTAACGTCTATCTCCGCTCAAATTTTGTAAACGTTTTGCCTGACAATATTGTTTTCACAAATCCACCAGAAGAGGCTGAGCGAGCGATAAGGACGTGCGGCGTTTAAGAGGTCTAAAATTATCATATATGTTACCGTCATTGTGGTCCGTGAGTTGGATTACATACAAAGCCAATGGGCAATAACTAAGCAGTTCAAGGTTTGCGCGTTGAGCACAGCGGCTGCTTGGTCCTCATAAGGCAGCGTTCACGCGAAAAAGGGGTGTGCATACAGGATTTTCTTTAGTCGCATTCGATATCACAAGGATTTGCAATAGCGCACCCATTATAAGAGAAGCTTTGCATAATTTCACTGACGTGCTGTCCGCATTGTCGTTGACACCTACATTGGTGTTTGCCTTTTGGAAACTGAACTCTTCTTGTCCGTCTTGTCTATTAGAAATTAGCCCTCTTAAGTTAGATGCAAACAATTTGTGTCCATTCAAAGTAACTTACACTGTAAATTTAAATTCTTTGCTCTCGCGTCAAAAAGCATTCATTACGACATGCAGCGGACCGTAATCTCCCATAGCCTATTCCCGCTCGTATAAACAACGTGAGATTTACCGATACAAGGCAAAGTTCGGATACCAGAAACAAGTTGATAAGAAGCAGATGGGATCGCTGCAACAAGAGCTTTATTCGCCTGGCGTTTCGGATCCTAGGTCAAACCCATCATCAATGACAAGGACAGAGATATAACGAAAATGACATTTACCGACTGAAAAGTTTTCATATTTCGTTAGAATCTTTACCAGTTCTCGCCATGAGAGCAATTTCTACCGTAATTTGAGAAGGTTTTATTGGAGTATTTTCATGGGTAATTCTATGTATGTTTAGAACTTTAGTCTAAGGAGGAGGCTGTTGGTGTGGGCGTAAGAAGCAAGTCCACGAGATATATGTTTGTTGTTGAGTGTCACGTGCAGAATCACGATCAGGAATTGGAGAGTCCCCAGGCAGAAACCGGTGAACCAATCATCACAGATTTAAATGTAAAAAATTGCGGTTTTGCGTCGACATTGACGCTTGTATAAATACTGCCAGGTTCTTTCCACCAAAAGTGTTATCTCGGCCCAAAATGTTCCGCACCCTGTATATCTTCGTCGCAATCTACATTCTGCGCGGATGTCCGAAAATTATGCGTACGTCTTCCGAAGTTTTTGCCCCTGCATTTATGTATGTTTAATAACAATGTGTTATTTTTAAAATAATTTAGTACCGATTAATGATAATTTATCAATTAATACTCAAAGGACTGAAAAAACTGACCCAGGGCACCTGGTGTACTAGTGAAGACTTTTCACAAACCTGTTTTCTTCTGAACCGTGAACTAAGTCCATTTTATTCTTCAGCGAAGCAGTTAGTGGAAGCAAATAAAATAGTTCAGTAAATACTTGGATTGTGTTTGTCCGTCTATCTAACAACCTATCAATGAGCAGCAAAACAAGAACCAGGTGAACGCTGTATCTTTATCTAGGCATAAAATTATAAAATAATTGAGTGCGGGTTATTCCTCATCCCTCCGGACACGCTTCCAACATGTGAGAGAAGTAGGTGCGGTCGCTAGAGCAAGAACTTTATCTACCTTGCTTTTCGAATGCAGAGGCAATCATACAAGATTCACTGGCGTGAACCGTCGGCTAGATATACGAGATGTTTGATGCGAAGGAAACAACTTCAACTAACAATAAAGGTTTATCGCGCTTGTAGAGTAGTATAGATAAAGCAAGAAGCCGCTCGGCCGAAACTGTCTGAAAAGTAAAGGAGCGCTGAAACCTCCGGTCTGCGTACTCGGACAATGTCTGAAAGACACAGCGCACCTACGTAATACGTCTGCAGATCTTCAAGCTATTACCTTGATTAGGTAGAGTCTAGCAATTTGACACTGCTTATTTTGAAATGAAGTTGTTGACTGTTATGCAGTCATAGAATCTGTCATCCGTGCGGTGAAAAAGCTGGTCGACGGAAAGAAATGGGCGGCGACGGTAGAGTTAGTGACCACATTTAACTGTCAGTAGACCGGGGATTGTGTCATATGGAGATTCATCTTGATCTTAGTTTGCAGACAGTTGCGGACACTATACTGACATCAAAAATTACTCCACATGAATTCCAGCCGTTATAAAAATTCCGTTGTTTTTGGAATTTGCCTCATGCTTATTGTTCATTTAGCCCGCTTTAGTCCGTTGCCATAGGAAAGGATTGGACAAGACTTCCGGCGAAAATTCAAATAATTTCTATGCTTTCTTGTAATTCGTAGTCTACTGTCTGGCACGCTGCTCCACCCATAAAACCCCCATTACAACCGTTCTCGTATGACATCATCCACAATCTATTGGCAGTAAAGGCAGGTCCTTCACCCCCACCAACCGCAAAATGTTCACGATAGGGAAATAAAGATGAGCATACTGTGTGGATTAGAAAAGAGTCTTAAACTGTCGCCATTCTTCCAAAATGTGTCAGCGATAGCTACCCCTGAAAGTGGATCCCTTTAAACTGAAAATTCAGCGAAAACCCTTGAAATTAATGTGGAAGGGCCAAATTATAAAAAGTTAAATATCACGTCAAGCGAGTAACCTGCATTTTTAGAAATATCCATCTATTTTCGCGTGAACAGTTGACGAAATAGAGGGCAAACCAACTAAAATAAGACTCATATTTGGTTTGTGCACACGTAAAATGCCCTGTAAAATTGAGCGCGCTGTGTTTTTGGACAGTAAGACAATTTTAAGGACTGATTGTGTTATGCAACAACGATAATTATTTTCTTTGTTAGGATAAAACATACAATATAACATCCAACACACATTCATAAATAGAGCCCATATTTCGTCTTCTCGCCTATTGTTATAAAGCAAAGTAATAACAATTTAACCCAGAAGGCATGTGATAATACTTAGTCCCGTATTTCATGCAAATGTAATAAAGGGAGCTACAAAGACACAACTCATGATCATTTTACTTCTTTCCTCATAACAGCACTTGTCGATGACAACCGAAACCACACGAGTTCTTGGGTTTTGAATTTCACCTCCATTCCTGCAACCTTTACGCCATCCAACGTGCGTGTCGAGCCCCTCGGTGGCTACTATGTTTCTTCTGATGCCAAACTTACGCACAGCTCACCGTCTGCGGAGGCCATTTATACTGGCATTACGCCATCCGACATCAATGCTCATCCTCAACCCCGCGCCTTTGTTAGCACATCAGACGTACAAACAAGTATATTTCATTATCACATTGTGTATATCTCCTTGCTAAAGCGATCGGGTTTGCAGTATTACACCTAATTAGCATGACTAGGACCCAACTCGACCAACCATTGCAAAACAACTGCCCATTCAGGCATAGCAGGATTACGCATATGCTTATCTATAAAGAAGATGACCACATGACCATTTCAGGTCTCCTACAGGAAGCCATTATCTGAGACTGAAAAAATACAACGTCAAGTTAACAGTTAATGTAGTTCAGACGGAGGAAAGTGATGAGGGAGTGTTGGACGGGATCATGTTCGCGATTAGGATGAGTCACAATGATCGCGCGTTCATCGTCTTCTTTGAACAAGAAACTGGAATTTTCATATCCGATTGCTTATAAGAGTCCAATCACAGACACTGTGCATTTACTTTTCTTCAGCAGTTAAACATTGCTACATTGCGACTACAGCGTCTTTATTAAAATCCTTTGATAGGATTTGCAGTATCGCCTATCGGTCTGACAAATTTATATACAGAGGTTTTCGTGATTGGGTTCTCCACAGATTATTGCCACAAATATTTTTCATATTAATTTTAAACTTACTTAAAAATATGCATGCTAAACCTTAGATTATCTGCAGCCCCTTGAAGTTTGACAAATGCTGAGTCAACTGTTGGGAGCTGCAGAAGTCAACAGTATTCTTGAAAAACAACCACACATTCAGTTAGCATGTGCCCAATTCGTTTATTTATCACAAAACTTGGTAGCGCCTCTCCTGCCTAGCTCATCTTTTCAAACTTATTCCATCCATCCTTAAAAAAATTGGAATGAACTACATGAATGTTTTTGACATTTCGTTTACGCCTGGAGTCTGCATGATCGTTGGAACGATGGACAAATGCCAATTCTACGAGTATCACCATGATTTACTTCAGATGCAGATCTCCAGAATACATGTGCGCAGCAACTTGACCTTGTATGGCATGTGCCTGAAATTAACAACATCCACAGCACCTTCAACTGAATTTTCCCTCTGAAATGCCATTTTTTCAGAAAATGCGTACGTTGCTCAAACGTAAATTGATGGATGGAGGACGGTCCGCCAGTGTAAAATAATTGATTGACCAACTTCTACTGTCATTGACTGACCAACTCAGAAAAGGGGACTAATTCACCTGGTTGATGACATTTTGCATTTTGACTATGGCTGATAAGATAGTTTTCATCAGACTGCTCCAAGTATGCAATCCTAGAATAATGGATAGAGGATAAATTGCCTATGATATCCGAGTAAAATAAATCCTGCCTAGTTTCCAGTCTAACACCAGAATGTTTGTTTAGACCTGGTAATATGCATTTCAGAGTTTACGCATGTTCTCTCTTGATCCTAGTTACACTGGATGTGGTATTGAGACGCTGGCCTGTCTTTCTGATAGCGGGTTTGATTTTTTGCGCTGCAGTGGTAAGTATCCAATTAGCAGAGTTGAATTTAATAAACAGGTCACATATGTCAGAGTCGTATGCTAATTTGGATAGATATATTTGGTCACGTCTTTCATTCGTATGCTATTTGGTCATAATCCTCATTCCCAATACCATGTCAATGTGAAAATGTAAGAAGTATGCGATTACAATTTGTGGCCTATCTCTCAGAGGTTGAGGTCAAATTATTAATGGGGACACATAACTGATGAAAGTTGATAATGCCTGTGGTTTCATTTAGCCGGTCCTTGTGTTCCCTTGGAGTTTCTGTGCTCTGTTAAAAAACACCTTAGTATATCACCTGTTGGCCGCAAATAGTTTTTTTTTTCATTGTGGAAATTTAAGACATGAACAAGCTTTAATTGCATCCAACGTGAATGCGTTTAGATTATTGTTCTATTAGCATCTTGCTTTTTGTCGAAAACCGGCGGCTCTTTGTTGCGCGAAATACGAACAGATCCGGACCATAATTATTTCAAGCTGTACTGATGCGACTGCTAATGATTTGCCCGATGTTGAAATACAAAGAGGTGAACAACTGGTAATGCAATACGTTCAAAATAAACGCAGAATTCAAGTCCCTTGTTTACGCTTACCCGTAAAGACGTCCACGAAATCTCATTAAATACATTTCAGTCTCAAGGTTATAGATAGACTTTCAGTGAGTGACCTATCTCATGAAATGTTGGCTGAAATTCTGAAATGCCTTTTTGATTTGGAAGGATTACCTAGGCGCGGTCGTAAAATTGATTATCTTGCGACATCGTTGTAAAATATTTCTGACCAAACAGAATAGCGGCATCTGAATAAATTGCTTTTTAATCACCTGTTGAAACTGCACTCAGTAAAATGCCTACTTAAGTAGCATGCACTTTTGCCATTGAATTTCGATGGTCCTACAAATGTAAATGTATCTTTTATAAACCACACACAAAAATATGCTTTCTTTCAGCAGTTTGATAAAGAATTATGCACTTTGTATAGTTTCTACTCAAGGAATGCCGATAACAGGGTTTTAAAAAGTTTCGTAACTATGAGACCTTTTTTGACCACGCAAAGTCCATTCACATAGCATTGTGCATGTCCGTTTGCCACAGCTCCTCATGAAATGCACAATATGGTCCGCATCTATTGCAAAATTTTATGAACTATGTATGATATATTTTGAAAGTCATATAATGATTTTCTTTACGCAGAACGCATCCTTTTGTGAACGGAAATCAGTAAGCGCTAATACAAAAAATGATCCCGTTCCGAATTACTCGGGAATTAGAAACCTATTTTAAAACCTTATTATACTCTTTCTTTGAATATGAAATAAAAAGACGACATGATTCTCTATCAAGCGACTGAAGGAAGGCATATTTCGATTGTGCTTTATATAAGATATATTTAAATTTGTAAGACCGTCGAAATTCAGTTGCAAAAGTTCATGCTAATTTAGTAGTCATTTAACCGAGTACAGTTTCAAAAGAAGATTGAGAAGCAATTTAGTCAAAAGTTGATATCCTCCTGAGTCCGGAATATTATAGGACTATGCCGCAAAATAATCAGAATTAACAGCGCGCTCAGGCCATCCTTCCTAATCGAAAATGCATATCAGAATCTCTGTCGAAATTTCAAGAGATCCATCGACAGCCAGTCAAATAAATATGGTTTCAATTGAAAATTCAAATTGGCAAACACGTGTTTTCAGTAACTCTTCATCAGGCCAAAACGGTTACAAAGAAGTTTAAGTTAAGGTTTCGTCTATCATGACCGACTCGACTAGCCGAACTAAAATAATTTGAAAATTAGGCAGTCCGTGCTACTTCAGCATTCCGCATGTGGTGGTGGAAGATAAGATAGGTGGCAAACTGACTGTCGCATATGATTGTGAGTATCGTTGCCTTATAAACTGCGGTCATCGACGAAGATAGCGCATTCATTTGTGCATAGGGTACAAGATTTGAGCTACAGTTGCCCCACATGCCCCTCCTTAAACAGTGTCAAGACATATGGAGGTGTGCTTAACACAGTTACCAGCGAATATGACCTGCCCATCTGCATATGCCACGCCTGACCTGGTGTTTTCCTAGCCTGGAGGGGCCACAATAAACGACATCTATATCCTTAAATAAAATATGCCTCTTATGTTTTCCTACAGGCGTTGGCGACTTTTTTGATGTTCTACACCGCTGGCAAATACGAAGCGAGTAGAAAGCAAAAGTAATCAACGGAACCTATCAACAATGAGAATTCCTACGCCGTCTTCTATTTGGCCAGGCAACAGCCCTCAATTTCATAAGCGTCATTTTATGCCGTCCATATGTTTGCTGTGTTCAATAAAGGAAATTTTGGAGGCGAACATGCCTTTTATTAAGCACAACCAGATTAGGCGAAAGCTTAATTTGCCAATCTGCGGACTGGTGTTTGCAACATACCGTAAGTGGGCTAACTTACGAAATGTCGATCGGTAAAACATTACGTCTTCTTTCAATTTTTACTCAAAGCAATGTTTGAATCCAGTGTTAAAAAATTCCTATGGTGAGATTTTTTTAATATTGTTAAATGGCCGCTCATAAAGCGTCATGTCTCTACACTTACCAATATCGCTTGTAAACTTCATAATACGGCTCAACTCTACTGCTAAATTTTATGAACTCCATCTGGTGTCCTCTTAGCACCGTACGGAAATATGTGGATTTCCGTACACGGAAAATATACCGCCAGCAGTTTGGAAGTCCCGAATGCAATAGTAACGGCAGATCGGGGTCTAAAATTATTAGGAAATTGAGCAAGATTCTAAAACCCACAATTTTACCCTTCTTTCGAGTATAAAATTGGAAGAAGACGTAATTTCTTATCGAATGAGCATAACAATGAATATTTGTATGCATGTTTCCCATGAAGTATAATTAAATTTTTCAGGACATCGAAAATCAATGTGAAAAAATGCCTTCTAAGTAGTCAATTTCTATAGAGTATGGTTTTCCATGCAGTCGTGAAGAAGATTGTTCGAAAACTGGCATCCTAAGGTAACTGACTGATTATAGAATTATGCCGCACGATAATCAGTTTTATAACCCTGCTTAATTAATCTTTTCGAGGCGAAATTGCATTTTGGAATATCGGTTGACATTCTATGAGTTAGTTCACCCACTGCAAGTGCAGCTAGTCAGGTCTTGATTTAAATGTTTATTATTTTAAATAGCTTAAATTCAATTTTGTCGAAACGCTTAGATATGACCACAAGCAACCCACGGCATTATTGCAATCACGACAGAATTCTCACAGGATCCACGAGGCTTACTGTGAGGCCTCATTATGTAAGACTGCATTGCACATTTTGAGCAGGCTTAAATCTAGAACTTTGCTAATTACGGTAAATCGTTACTACCGTTCCTTTATCAGATAGGACTGAGATTGCGCACACGCCATATATGGGTAATCACTAGTTCTGCGTTTTTTACGTAATCCATCTCTCCACCTCAAAGTAGTTTGCGGGTCCTCGTAACCCATGCCTCTGGTTGTACATATTTCAGTTTCATGTGGGGTTGTCGATCAAGAAATTCTTCTGCAGCTGTTTAACCATCCATGTCAACTCCGGGAGTACTTTGATAGGCTAAGAGACACGTGTTGGCTTCGTCAACCGCTGACTCCGCGCGCACTTTACGTTAACAAACGGAGGAGAGCCGCCAACACTCTGGCACCCTCTACCATATATAAAATGTGTCCGAAGCGATGGAGCGTATTGCTGATGAGCTCGGCGTGGATATCGCTCACACTTCGACAGCGACCATGCGCAACAAAATCATGCGAGTGAAGAACCGAATGGACGTACGAGGATAATCGGGTGTCGTTTATCAGATTCCATGTCGGGACTGCCCCCGCCACTACACAGGACCGACCGGACGACGACTTAGCTTACAATTAACGGAGCATAGGCGGGCGGTCCGGAGAGACGACCCGTTGCCTCACGTCGCCACTCACACTCTCGAAGAAGGCGACGAATTTAACTTCGCGAGCACGCGCACAGTAGCGCGGTCAACCGGGAGACAGAGTGAGAACTGCTGGAGGCCTGGGCGTCTGACACCAACTCCATCAACAGATATGTTGACAGACCCCTCTGCTATTACGCGTTCCGTTCCCGCGGCCAAGAGGCGACACCAAATTCCCAGCCAAGGTTGCACGCAGTCACGCTGCCGTGAGACGGCGTGGCACTCAGCTTATCGCGAATACCACCCTCTGCACTCACATCCTTCCCTTCATGCCTTCACTGCAAAAACTGCACTGTTGATGCCGCATACTCAGAGTCACTGACGAGACCGAAATCTCAGACTAATACATCCACTGTCCCAGAGATCGTGTGCACCCCTTCTTTATAACAAGAACCTAGGATTCGTATATTCGCATGCATACGTGTTAAAATGTTCTAGACCATAGTGACTGACTGAAATCATTAAATGTTGGCCGAAATTCTTGCAGCAAATATTCTTCGTCGTGCTCTTGAAGGTGTCGACAAAAGCTTCACCTTGGATATTCGATCTGGAGTGAGGTTGGGTTGTGATTTGCCACTTTCCCATCTTTGACACTGCTGTTTAACAAGAAGGACATACATTATGTTCCATTGTCGATTATGACTTTCGTAGGAATAGCGTAACGTACGATCGATTCACAAAACTGCCTGACCATGGTTTTCACGGCTGCGTATTTTGCTTCCTAATCCCTATTCATTCTTACCATGCGCTGAGGCGCACTATCAAAACCCTGCTGTAAAACCCTCAGCGCAATACAACTGTATTCTCCTCTACAGTCTCAGAACTAATGGCCACTGTAAAAGCGGTACTCTGAGTGTGTTCTTTTCGAAGTGTCAGCACCGTCCATAATTCCCGTCGAAACCCGCCCCAATTGCCAACACTGTCAAAGGACATTCATTCGCCGGATGATCCTACTCGTCCATAAAGGCATTCATGAATAATGTGGTAATTCTCAATCAGCATCTATTCAATGTTCCGTTTTGTATTGTGCGGAAAAAGGTTGATTAATACAAAAAAGATTGTTCTCGATGCGGCTAATAGGTAAGTAGTAGTCATATAAGTTTCTGTGTGGTGGCACGTTGACAGGCCAGTCGACGACTAGGGAATCTGAATTAAATTGACAGATGCAATTTTAAGCATAGCAGTTAGCGCATATAAGAAGAAACTTTACTCTGCCAAATATTCGTAAACACTCTGCCGACGGTGAAGACCACAGCGTTTTAAAGGATCCTTGAGCTTTATGTGAATACTTTGCAATTTTTAAAAAATTGATTAGTTGTCTAGCCTGAGATATTTGGATCTCCCTATTTAGTAGTATTCTGGAAATAAAACATTTGTAGAAACCATTTGCAAAACCAGTCAGTGCTATGAATTTGGTCTTCGCACACTTAGCATTGTAGGTTTGACTTGAATTCATTTAAACAGGAAATCTCCTATGGAATGTAATGACCGCTTACAACAAGAATCAATATGGAATATGTTTCCAGCCAATTTTACAAATTTGCTTACATATTGACCCAACTGTGAAAAACTCGGCGCCTCGGTGGGATTCGAACCCACCCATACGCCCATATTAATACTGATATTTTGCTGAAACAATTAATGTTTTGCTCGTTCTATGTCTGAATAAGATTTGCACAGAAGCTAAACTACACGACAATTAGTGTTTCATATGCTTAAAGCTGGAAATAACCATTCCGTGGTGGTCATCTATGCGACATCAGGTAGAATTTTCTAAACGGCAAAAACATTTCAGCCCACTTAAACGAAGGAATCTCTATCTTCGTTATTATTACACTTTAAGGCATCAAATCGCACAGATCGGCTAAATTGACATTAAGGAATTGATAAAACCTCTGGTTTTCTTAAAATAACCTTTGCGTTAGCCAGTTGATAACCATAGTTAACAGTGGACATGAAATATAATTTCCAGTCCGGCTAAAGCTGTTTTTTAAAACTCTCGAGGTTAAATTACTATCCTTTCAATGAAAAAGTCGCTCAGATGCGTAACTAGAGTCTGGGACATGCATTAGCATAGGAAATTGCACGAATATATTCCAACGTCTATTTTCACTAAACTTTACTCATATTTTACTTCATATAATTACGTAAACATAATTTCTGCACAAGAAAAGGACGTTTCATTGAAGGACGTGGGTGAGCGTACAAAATGCGCCACGTTAAAGACGTCCAGAAATTCTCCAATCAGTTTTCGTTTTCAGATTTCATGAGATAGTTCACGTACTGTATTTCTTAGCCAAAATTTATCCGCTTCAGTGAGAAGACCATCTAGCATTAATAAACTACCAGTGAAAACCAGCTGAATACATGTTATATGACTTACCAATCTGACAGCACAGGCACTGGCTAAAAGCCCAGACACTGGTTTCGCCGGTTTTTCGAACACAATTTGAGAAACGATCAGGTCACTACCAGGTCCTCTTAGCGTCCACCTCGTGTCTTCTGATATTATCTGCTTAGTAGTATAAACAACAGAAGTAGTATCAGCGTGAGGTTTCAAAATGTTTTTTCCGGACTCATTGCGTACGGGAGTAAATAATTCTTACCACGTTATTCGGAGTCCTTGGTCTGAGGCACAGTTTTCCATAATGCCAAATACCAACGCGGTGCTGATCGTGCGTGTTCATAATAAGGGCATAACTTATCAATCCGGAAGCAGAATATCAGACACAACTTTCATCGATGTCGACGATCAGGTCTTGACATGATTTTCTAGTTTTACCCTGTTGTCTGGTCAGTCATTAATAACATTTCGTAGGTAGTGGACAGTCGAGAGATAGCAAGCATTACATATAAGTTGTCGGAAGGTCGCGCTGATCACAGACCAGTGGTCGCAGACGACGACTTCCACTGCTGCGACACGAAACCTTTCTAGCAACAGTAATTTGCATAATCTTCAATCTTCCATCACCTTCCACGGACAAAAGTGAGTTAGATCGGTTCGGTATGCGCCAGTTTCCGTGGCTGAAGTTAATAGTCAAAAAACTTACTGTGCCAAACAGGTGCCGCAATACACCGAATGAGTGAGTTAATTGAGTGAGATGAGCATGTATTTTTCCATACAATTACAAACCCGGAATAACATCGGAGAAAATATATGGTGTTGGTTCTGTTGCTGCCATAGGTCAGGCATGAAAAATTATCCTTGGGGAGCAAACTGCAGGTCGTTTTG